TACTTCATCAGTTCCACAGGATATATCCAAAGTGAACATCATATATTCATTCCTGGCTTTGGGAGAAGAAAAAAGAGGAAACAGGGAGTTTAGTTTAGTTTAGTTTATTGTCATTGCACCTCATACAACGAAATCAAACACCATCTTCAGTGCACATCATGACCATGAAAATAAACACAAACACACATCCTTCACACTCCACACATTGAACTGAAAATCCCCAACACCACACCAACACTGAACTATACAGTAGAATTCAACAGAGCTACTGCCCTGGGATAGAAGCTGTTTATCAACCTATTTGTCCTTGTTTTTATTACTCTGTACTGTCTGCCAGATGGTAATGGTTCAAAAAAAGGGTTCCCCGGATGAGATGGATCTTCGAGAATGTTATGAACTTCCTTAAGGCAGCGGGAACTATAAAGCTCTTCCAAGGAGAGGAGAGGGCAACCAATGATCTTCTGGGCAATGACATTAACCTGAGGAGACAGGTTTGAAAAGACATATACAAGGGGAAGTGCATTGTAGACTATGAAAATTGCCTATAGATAATGTCATAATATATAAAGAAATTCATATAATTTTATTTCTCCCTTTTTTGCTTCATGCTGTCCAATCTTATCTGCCGCTCAGCCTGAATTCTCTACAGGATCACTGCAATCATGTACTGGAGACAATCCTCTTATTTCTCCCCCTAACTTCTTCTATAAAGCATCTTTGTATGTTTGTCAAATAACTATTTGCTTTTAATACAGTTGGATAGACACCAGCATCTTTAACATACAGCAAAGAAAAAGTTAATACATCTATCACTTTTTGTAAAAGACATTTGTAGCATGCAGCAATGAATTTAAATAGAATATTTCTGGAGATAAAATGAATGTGAAGACTTTCTCATCTGCATTTGAATATGCAACATATTCATTCAATCCAGACTTACCTAATAAAAATACTGTTGTATGAATTCTGGAAATAAACCAACAAGCTCAAATACCAGTTTTAAACAGTTTTCAAACAAAACTGATATCCAGAAGAATTGCATTCCTGTTCAAGTTTTAATTCTCTTAATATAGTCTTGCTTTATTTATATTATTTTTTTATACTGCAAAATATCAACAAAAACTTTAAATGTCTGCTGTCTGTATCATTTTTTATGATTGTGCCTGTGGACCACCTTATTCAGTATTCCTCTGTTGTAGGATAATGATTCCCTGTATTTGCTAAATATGTGTAGAGTTCTCCCAAGATATTTTACTGCCTGACATAAACAAAATAATGCTTGCTCTCCATATTGAAAAGCTACTGGACTAATAGCTGAATATTGTTTGCACAATGAGGATGAGAGATTACTATGCAATATATAGATTTCCCATTTTCCAACAACTCTGGGCAAGTTAAAAAATTTAAAAAGTGTAAAAGAAAAAATGAGATCATGAAAGCCCCCTCACCCTTATCCACATATAATCAAAAAAATGGGAAAGGAGAAGCCGATCAGGGACTCAATTTTCACCCTGCTTCAGAATTTGTCTTTAATAGCCTCTTGATCATGAACATATACAGTGAGACATTCACGATTATATTGAAGCAAGACAATTTGGGTTGTGCAAAATAGACCATCCCTCAAGCTTGCTATTTTGCCATCTCGTTACAGTATGCCTACTGCACATGGCTTGTTTTACATAATGGTAGGGTTGTATGATTAAATAGTAAACATTGTGGATGTACATTCAAATTAAATCCTTTCAAAAGAAGGTTGGCATAAACAGAACACCTTTCTTCAAAAGATTAAAAGAGCCATGTCCTCTGCAAGTTTCACATGATTGCTTCAAAGAATGTCCTGGTTTTTTTCCATGTGCATGATCACGGATGTATAGATGAGGGCAGCCTCTGAAATAGAAACATGAGTCTTCCAAGGTATACATCTGCTTTAATTCTTCAGATAGATGTATTGTATCTAATATACAGTACTTTATGCAGCATTTTTAAAAGATGTACAGACTAGTATTTATGCCATATAGAGGTCTATTGTTTAATATTTTGGGGAACTTCTACAGGAAGTATCACAACATAGTGTCACAGAGTGAAAACTTCTTAATTAATCAAATGTCCGCTCTGCTAAATGCAGCTCCTTTAAATACCTGTTTCTTATGGTTAAACTGGTGAGGCCAGAAAAATAAATGTCTCTACCTACTCTTGACCAACTGCCTTTATACCTTGCATATTTTTAAAGGACGAAATTTTAAATCAAGTTTTTCACTGGATGTCATTTTGAATTTAATTGGCACTTTGATTAGGCTGTTATATTCTACTGAATATTATGGAACTTATTCCTAAATATCTGTGTTTCCAAATAATATATATATGGTACAGTCATTCCGCTTCATTCATTAAATTTTATGGAAGAGGTACAATGTTCTTATACTTCCTTTGCGTTTTCTTCACCACAGAAAATCAATCAAAAAGGAAAATATGTAACAGGAGCCATCAAAGTCTTTAAAATAAATGTAGACACTTGAAAAAACATTACCCATGTGTGGATAGAACTTTGCATATTTGAACTGATCATTTGCATAATTTCATAATAGTTGTAAAATACATTATGTGGCCACCAGAGGGCTTCATTTTGTTTTCTAGAACAAGACTATTGCCTTTAATCTTCCATTCTCTTTCTCTGTTTACTGTTTATTAAAAGCTGTAACAAAACAGCTCTCAATGCAACTACTTTTGAGCAAAACCACTAGCCAAAATGCACAAGTTGTATTTTTTAATGAAGATTTTTTTATTAAAAAAAAATAGACAGATAAAAAGTTTGACAGTACAGTTGCATTGAACTGACACCCAAGAATCTAGAAAAAGAATTATATGCTTTCTTTTCGTCAGGATGCTTCTGTCATTACTATCCTGATCATTTATGGCAATTTGCAACAAAATATAATGCCAGAATTAAGAATGCTGTCTGGGGAATCCTGGAAGTTGAAGTTCATACATCTTAAAGTCACTATGACTCCAAAGCACTGCATTAGAGCACAATCACCACACAGAAAAACCTGCCGACTTTCTCTAGAAATATAACTGTGGATCTATGATGCTCTCTGAGCTTGGTTATTTGGTTGCAGATATTTCATTATCCAACTAGTTAACATCATCAGTTATCTTACACTGATGATGTTACCTAGTTGGGTAATGAAAAGTCTACTCAGAGAACACCCAGGACTCCACTGTCCAGCTCTGAGCTATATATATTCTTTCATTGTTAAATGCCTAATGCTAATTCAGAATTGAACAATAAATTAACTTCACAAGCAGGTTGATGTGCTTCTTTTCCCTCTCTTTGAATCAGAAGCAAAGACTATTGCTATAAAATAAGCTGCTGCCTTGGTTTACCAAGAAGTCAAAGTCCTATGAAATTATTTCATACAGATAGTCCTCAACTTATGATCTCAACTGAGCTCAAAATTTCCATTGCTAAGCAAGACAGTTAAAACGAATTTTGCCCCATTTTATGACCTTTCTGCCACAGTTGTTAAGTGAATCTTTGCAGTTGTTAAATTAGTATCACAGTTGTAAATTAAACCTGGCTTTCCCATTGACTTTGTTTGTCAAAAGGTGAATTCTATGATCCCAGGACATTGCAACGGTCATAACTATGAACCAGTTGCCAAGCATCCGAATTTTGATCACATGACTATTGGGATGTACCAATGGTCATTAAGTGTGAAAAATGATCATAAGTTACTTTTTTCAGTGTCTTTGTAAGTTTGAACAGTCACTAAAAGGATGGTTGTAAGTGTTGTACTGCTATTTAGATACAAGACTACTGCAGACTGGAATCAAAATTTGACAATTATATATTTGTGTCGCATACATACATATCCCAAAATAACCTGAATGATTAGAAGAATTGATTTGAAATATAACTTTGAAAGCAAAATTGTATTTCAGATCAGAAACTTCTCTGCTTTATTGTGTCTTTATTTTATTTATTTATTTTATTTATTTGATTTGCCAATTGTTTACAAGATAATAAGTATAAGTGTATACATAGTTGTGAATACATGAAATGGGTACATATAAGAAAAATAAAAGAATAAGAGAAACAATAGGACAGGGACGGTAGGCACGATGGTGCGCTTATGCACGCCCCCTACAGACCTCTTAGGAAAGGGGTGAGGTCAATAGTAGACAGTCTAAGGTTAAAGTTTTTGGGGTTTGGGGAAGAGACTACAGAGTCGGGTAGAGTATTCCAGACATTGACCACTCTATTGCTGAAGTCGTATTTCCTGCAATCAAGTTTGGTGCGGTTTACTTTGAGTTTGTATCTATTGTGTGCTCTTGTGTTGTTATGGTTGAAGCTGAAGTATTCATTGACAGGTAGGACATTGCAATGTATGATTTTATATACCATGCTTAAGTCAGACCGAAGACGGCGTAATTCAAGGTTTTCTAGTTTTAGAATTTCAAGTCTGGTGGCATAAGGTATTCTACAACGAGTAGAAGAGTGGAGAACTCTTCTTGTGAAATATTTCTGGACTTTCTCAATTGTGCTAATATCAGATACGTAATGAGGGTTCCAGACTGATGAACTGTATTCGAGTATTGGTCTAGCAAATGTTTTGTATGCTCTGGTTAGTAGTGTGATATTAGTAGTGTGATATTTTCTTCCTCCTGAAGCATTTTTTGTTAGGCAAAGAGTCTTTTCTCTCCCATCCTAACTCTCCAGCCCACATTTTGTGCTCCTGTGTCGATGTCTGTTTAATTCGATTTGCCTAGCTAAAGATTTCCCAGCAGAGGGCGGAGACAAGGAGCGAATTCAACCTGAACCCAACCTTACTTTTTAATACCTTTAGCTCACACTTGCTCCGCCCAAGAACTGCAAATCCCAGCAGCCGGCAAAAGGAGGAGGAGAAAGAGGTTAGTCTAGCCGTCAGGCTTTAACTTGAATACGCCGACTCACGGCTTTCTTTGACCGCGATGCCTCTTGGGTTGTGTAGTTTCCAAAAGGCAGCGCCTCGGACGGAGCTGTGGTGCATCTCGGGAGATGTAGTCGGGGCGGCCTGACAAACCAGTGGCGGCCAGGGATCGCGCCGCGTCCAAACAGCTTCCCGCCCCTCGCAACAGGTTTTGCGCGGCCCCTTCTTCGTCGCCTCTTCGGGAGTGGGAGGCGGCGAGCTGCCAAAGGCGAGACGAGGCAGGCAGGCGAGCCAAGGAAGCGCCCAGCTGCTGCCCGCAAGGTAAGGGCGAGCCAGCGTCCGGACGGAGAAGAGGACCTCGCACTGCGGCGGGTGGGTGCGCGTGCCTTTCTCTACCAGGGATTGTGCGGGATTTTGCCCCGGTCCCTTGCAGCCGTCTGCTTTCGCTTGCTGCTTGCTTTCCACGGACTTCGCGCTCCCCTCCCAAGAGCGAAACAATTGTTTAACTTACAAAACATACTTATAAAACTATGGGGAAATTGTCCGGGCACTTTAAGACTAAGAGCTGTGATGCGGCATAAACTTTCGTGGTTTCGACCGAGCATCATGTGATGCGCGAATCCGGGTTGGAAAAGCTATTCAGGAAGGCTTGAAGTGAAAATTTATTTTATTTTATTTATTTATTTTGATTTGTCAATCAAATCAAAAGTAAAGTACAATTTCAATGTGGAGAGATCTTTTCCGTCTTCTTTATAAATGAGACATATGTATAAAGTATGTTTATCTTTATGTTTTATATATTTATATTTTTCCAAACTAAATATATAAAATTGTATTTGAGGAAATGGGCGTTACTGCGGGATAGTCATACTGTGGAATTAATAACTACAGTATGCTTGGCACTCTAATGTCACCTGTGGTTCTTTCATATTCATGGCTTCCTTGCCCAATTCCCAGTTGTCTATAAGTTGAATCTGTTGATGTAATTTGATCTCCCACAGTATTTTGGGAGCTTGTTGTCCAGCCTGGATTTGTCCTAAGACATGCATAGTCTTTAAAAAAAAAAAAATTGCGAAGTCTGTGCAATATATTTATTGGTGAGACTGCCTGTCTTTTCTTTTCTTTTGACATCTGAGATTTCATTGGCTTTTTAGACTGTCCCATTTGAATTGATGGTTATTTTGTTTGAAGAAAGAAGGAGTAAATAATCTTAAATTTTCTTTTAAAAACCATGAAATAACTTCTAGGCTTCTAGATTTTAATTCTATTTATAAACAATTATTTTGACAAGTATTCTTCCCTTTGGTATGTCATATTTTTCTGAATTTGCTGATTGAAATGTTCATTTCTCAGCTTAATTCTTTTGATATTTGAATATGTAAGTACTCAAAATTATGAAGTAGCTTGCCTGATTCAGATAATTTCTGAGTCTCCTCAACTGTACGTTCATAGATAGTTTCTTATAATCGATACGTACCTTTTTCTCATCTTTCTCTTCCAATTGATAATGTTATATCTTTTAGTGTCCATTTGGTAAAATTATGTTTCATCTTGTAAATTTGCTTTGAACAAACATTTTACATGCATTTAACATGTATCCCACAAATCTAGAATATTTGCCTTGAACACTACTGGCTTTCTTTCCCATGGTTTATCATTTTGCCTTTTCTTTAACTTTAAGATGACATCCATAATTGCACTAACATGTGGGGGGTGTTATAATGGATCCTTCTATCATGTATTATCTAGGAACCACATTTTTTCAACCTTTGCCACTTGAAAATGCATGGACTTTAACTCCCCAAATTCCCCAACCAGTTTCCTCAAATTGCTAAGATTGGAAAACACTGAGTTAGAAACTCATAGACAATTTGTGAAATTCCTGTATTATTGCAATTGCTAACACAGTGGCCTCAGTAAATGCTGCTTTTGCCACCACAAGGGTCTTTGATCCACTTAGTTTTATTTTTGTTATTGCTGATTCTTTCAATTAAAAAAGAAAAGACTACAATAGACATGCTGCAGAGTAAAGTAGAATGTTTATTATAGAAGTGCATAGTCTTCAAAAACTATACAATGAATGCGTACACTTGTTTATTTAGAAGGCTGTCCACCTAATCAGTGAAAAAGACATGCAAGCTAGGGTGGTAGAGCATGCTCTAAGAAGCTGGATAGGGTGAAGAAAAATACAGTCACAAGTTTGCTTTCTCATATCTCCTGTTTTGTAACAAGTCACACCCACAGTGACATCCTTCCATTGGCAGTCATTTTATTTGAATGCCTAATGTCAACCATGCAAGAGCCTCATGACTGGAGTTGCAAAGAAAACAAAGTAGTGACTGAGTGAATAAATAAATTTATTAGATTCCAAATACAGTATGTCCACTCGTTCAAAAGGTTAGAAATTCACACTGTATTGATTCTAGCAGTTATGAGCAAAATTCATTGCTTGGTTTTTCTAGGTCCAAGACTTTAAGATGTATCTTAAAGTTGCTGAGTTTTTTCTTTTACAGTATTTCTTTTTATATTTAACAGAATTAATGATAAAGTGCTTTATACACATAATTCTACCTATGCTAAAGTTTGATTTATAACTTTCCTGTAGAAGTTTCTGCTGCTTTTCTAGTAGCCTTCAACCCTTGAAACCTACTTCATCCCTGAGAACCTTTCAAGTGCCCAGTACTATTAAATCAATTCCACCAGTTTGATTCTATGAACCCAGTTACTTATTTATTACTACATTTTTCTTTGCCTTCATTTTGTATAAGTGAAGGAAGCATACATAATGTTCTTCCTTCCTGTTTTCCCCACAAAAATAACCTATGAAGTAAGTTGGGCTGAAAATATGTTGATGGTATACAAGTAGTATCAGCTCTTGAACTTCTAGTGAAATAATGGGTAAGGTGATGATATGTAGTAAAGAGATGGATTTCCAGGAGGGAGGGGTGGATTCCAGAGGAGTTAAAGGCAGCATAGTCCAGATACTATGTGTGATTAAAAAAAGGTGAAAACTGCCCCTCTCCAGTATATCTTAAGAGTATATTGTAGATACAGATACCAGAGTACTCAGTCCGGTAAGATTTGGCCTATAGGTATGAAACAATAAGGAGTTCAGTTTGAATAAAATTACCATGTGTCATTCTTGATTTTGGGCCAGACAGACACAATTGTACTTTTGGTTTTCTGTTGAACAAATTTTATGTATGAAGTTGACCACAATTATTATTTTACTCAGTCATGGTTTTAAAAAGTCTAACCTCTGCATATTTTGTCGGCGTTGTCTTCTTGATTACTACACTGGAATGGAGGGGTTGTTTGGGGTTTTTTTTGGGGGGGGGGAGATAAAGTTACCAGCTGTGCATTCTCTAATTCTCTTTGCTCAGCATTGGTCTTAGGAAGTGATCTATCATAGAAGCATGCCTGAACTCACTAAGTTTTATCAATGGCTCCATCTGAAACATTCAATACAGTGCTGGAACAATGCATAATCAACTGTAAGGCTTCTTAACAATGCAGTCCTCATTTTTTATGTTCCTGGTGAATACTTTGGAAAGCAGTAAAGGTAATCCACATTTACAACTGCATTTGGACTGAAATTTCTGTTGCTAAGCAAGGCAGTTGTTCAGAGATTCACAACTATGAGCTTTTTGCCATGGCTGTGAAGCAAATTATCACAGTTGTTAAACAAATTATGCGGTTAAGTGAACCCAGCTTTCCCCATTAGCTTTGTTAGTCAAAGCTGGCTGGAAAGATAACAAATGGTGATTACATGACCTCAAAATACTGCAACCATCATAAATACATGTCAGTTGCCAAGCTCCTGAATTTTGATCACCTGACCTGCAATGGACATAAGTATGAGCACCTATCATAAGTCACCTCTCAGTGAATTTTAACTTTGAAAGATTGCTAACTATATGGTTGTAAGTTGAGGTCTACCTGTAGGTTCACGTTTCAAAGACTAATTTCTTTCTTAAGCTATAACTTTCCTGGATAGCCAAATGTTCTACTCTAAATTGGGAAGCTGTCAAAAAATTTATACTCTTATTGTTAGGTATATCGAAACACAGCTGAGAACAGCACACAGTGCCACGTTCACGTCTACATTCCCAGAGTTCCACTTGGCTTTCTTGAAGGAGGCAGACATATGATAGCAATTAAAATGGCAAAGTTAGCATAAATTACTTTTCACACAAAGAGTGAGGGTGCAGAAGAAAGAGGAAGAAGTTGAAAGAAAAGGGACAATTAATAGAGTAAAAGAAAGTGCAAGATCTGCATTACAGTATGAGAAGGGAGGTTACAAAGAAGAAACTGAAATGACATGGTTCAAATTATTTCTTTTAATAATGATAATGATAATAATGAAATTACTTTTGTGTCAGTACAGTTCTCAACTTAGGGCAAATATTATGTAATTTTGTCTGTAATTAAACAATGGGAGTAGTATGAGCATTTTCAGTGTTAGGTGGAAATGTGGGGGTGATCCAATTTAAAATATTGTATATAATTTAATAATGCTGACATCCAGCGCATATATGTTACTGGGATGGCAATCATGATGGAAAATACAAAGGCTGAAGTTTTTGTTCTTTTAAAAATATTGCTATAAGCTTAAAGCATAAAGACATATTAGATAATATTAAATTGTACTGTATTGATATTTTCAAAACTCAAAACTTTCCTTTGTGCTGGGTAAATAATAGTTCTTACAATGAAATGAGTTTTAGGAAATGGCATTCCATTTCAGATAAATTCTTTTTAATGGCAAATTTCTATACTCATCAGCTGATTGAAATAACTCTTCTGTTATTTTTTATTATGCTATGGGAATATATTTGGAAAGATACAGGTATTACATTTTAATATCCATGTCTGCTTGTCTTTAGTAAGCTTTGGTTTGAGATTGCTAGTTTTTATATATAACTATTAAAATACTTTATGATATTTAATAACCTTAAATTATACTCTGGATTTGTAGAATTATTATTTAATTGTATATTTTTATATGTAAGGTTCCATACTTCTTTGTCATTTAATTTGACATTTTGCTTGAAAGGACATTCTGGAAAATTGAAATACTTTTAAACTTTCTTTATCCTTCCAGATACCTGTGAAAAAAAATTAAAACAAGAGAATCATTTAAGCTCAACAATTTGTGCATATATAAACCTTCTAATGAAGGATGACTACTCCATATGTTCCTGTTCCAATTCCTATAGGAAGTTCTACTAGTTTTACCATAAATAGAAATCAAAGAAGATCATCTCTTGGGAGTATTTCAGCATGTTCAGATTCTCCAAAGGGACAGTTAGAAGAATCGTCTCAAAGTAACTTTAAAAAAATGAGTGTTCCCGATGAGATTGGTACTACTTCATGTCCTTGCAATAGTCCACTTGTTAGAACTAAAATGTTAGGTATTAACACCTCCTTGGAATATTATATTCAACCATTGGAAACAACTGAGCAAAATACCTTGGAGAACTGGGAAGATCGACCCGCTACTCCTACAATACTTGGTTATGAAGTAATGGAAGAGAGAGCAAAATTCACTGTAAGTTGTAATATTTTGTATTGTGAAATACAAATTGTATTGCATTATTTCATTTAATCATTGACGTTTTATAAATGTGAATACAGCTTCCCAACTGTAAGGGACATTTTCTAGTGACTCTTAAATTGCTTGCTACATCAAACTGCTGCATTTGTGTAAAATTTACTGGTTTCAGCACAGTTCTTAAATATCATACATGCTTTAGCTTTGTATATTTTAATCCTGTTCAGTTTTACCTACATGGGTAATTTTAAGCATGTCTAGATTTACATAAAGTAATATTAATTTTTATATTCTAATGTTAAGCTGATTTTGTAATGGAGATAGTGCCTAATACATAGTTTTCATTATAATTTGCAACCTTATTTCCCTTGGAATCAGCCTCACAAAATGCATTTTTGAATAGGCAGAACTTTGCTTTTTCCTTGCCATCTTTTTTCGCAAATATAACCTATAAAAGCTACATTTTGAAGAAAACATCTAGTGCAAGTTGATGAAATGACAAACACTCTCCAATCTTTTCTCATTCAACACAACAATAACTTTCAGAATTGAGGCATGGATAAGGTGTAAGAATATATCCCAGGAAACAAGGACTATAATTAAATATCCTTCAGATTAAATATAATTTAAATAAATGATACCTGTATATAATTTGCAGCAAACTGAAGTGCTTATGAAATCAATTTTTAAAAGTACTGGCTAACATCATTAATTAGTTCATTTTGGCTAGTAGAAACCATACCTATCCTGAACTTGTATGAAAAAAATCTTTTTTAAAGTTCTGTAAACTTAGCCACATCTGTTAGTTTGGTTCCATAAACAAAGAACAGTTGTGTGAACTATTCAATAATTGCAGTGAAATATGAGAAGCCTGCTACATATGCTATTTCCTGAAACTATTTTAATGGGGCTTTGTCTTTTTTGTTTTTAATAGATTTACAAAATACTTGTGAAGAAAAATCCAGAAGAAAACTGGGTAGTTTTCAGAAGGTATACAGACTTCTCCAGGCTTAATGACAAGGTACATCCATTTAAATAGGCCAATTTCTAATTAATATTACTAATTTAATATTATTCCTGTGTTTCATAAATTTCTTTGAAAAATTAAAAATAAAATGAACACATGAAAATCAACATAAAAGATTGCATGAAAATGCGTGTATTATTTGCCATAAAGACAATATATAATTGATTTAAATGCTAATTTGTAAAGATCTATTCTATATAATATGGTTGGATGAGAAACAAAAACAAATGAATCCAACACTGTGTATAGGCCCTTTCAGCTTTTGTACCTAACAGTCAGCTGTTCTTCAAAATTAAAGCAAAAATTAACAGTACCTGTTCGTAGGATTTTGCAGTTACATTTTTTCTAGAGATAGCGATGTAGTATATGCCCAGTGCTCTTTTCAAATGTTTCAAGTTACACCTAACAATTGGTACTCTAGAACAATTGGTACTCTGATACGCCCGTTCTCTGTGAGCTGTTCAGAGCATCCAGAAGTGGGAGGTGCTTCAGTCTCTTCTGGAAAGGCTGGGCTTAAAACTCCGGAACGCTCCTCCTCCTCCACGGGACACCTCCCCAGCATCCCCCAGTTTTGCGAAGACTGAGTGCCAAAGTCCGGAACTCATCACCTAATCTGGATCCCTGACTGGAATGGAACCCCCCAGATGGAAAGAAATGGGTGGGGCTGGATGCTCTTCACAGCTCACAGAGAACGGGCGTATCGGGTAAGTACCAACGCCCTTTCTCCCATGAGCTGTTCAGAGCATCCAGAAGTGGGACATACCAAAGCTTGGCCTGTCTGGATCGAAATCCACTCCTAAACTCTTTGGACCCTCTGCAGGACTCTTCTGCCAAATGAAGCGTCCGCTGAGGCATAGACATCAATTTTATAATTTCTGACAAAGGGAGATGGTGAAGCCCAAGTTGCCACTCTGCAAATTTCTTCTATGGAAGCCCATGTGGCCCATGCTGCTGATGTTGCCACACTCCTTGTTGAGTGGGCTGTAATGCCCTTAGGAACTGAGATGGACTGGCATTTGTAACTTTTAGCTATGGCGGCTCTCAACCATCTACTGATGGTCGTCAACGACACCTTTTGTCCTAAAGTGGATGGGTTGAAGGATAGGAATAGAGCCTCAGATTTTTGAAATGCCGCCGTGCGGTCTAGATAGATGCTTAAGGCCCTTCAAACATCAAGTCGATGCCATTGATGCTCCAGTCTATGAGATGGTTTCGGACAAAAATTTGGAAGCACCAACTCCTGCGCTCTGTGGAAGGCTGAATTTACTTTAGGAGTGAACGATGGATCTAATCGGAGAATCACTCTGTCCGCATGAAACACGCACAGGTCCTTTCTCATTGACAATGCCGCCAATTCGGAAATCCTCCTTGCTGATGTGATTGCAATTAGGAAGGCCACCTTATATGTCAGGAATTTAAGACTAGCAGTTCTTAAAGGCTCGAACGGGCCAGTTGTAAGTGTGGTTAACACCTTGTTGAGGTCCCAGGTGGGATAGCGGTGAATTACAGGAGGTTGTAAGTTTACAGCACCCTTAAGAAAGCTGCGGACATGTGGATGGTGCGCTATGGAACGGAGGTCACCCCAGGCTATCACCGAGGCTAAACCCGCCACCTGTCTGCGTAAAGTATTTGGAGATAGGCCCTTGGTCAACCCCTCCTGTAAAAAGTCCAATAATTGTCCTATTGATGGGGCAGTTGGGTCGATCTTAGACCCCTGGCACCAACGACAGAAAGCGGACCATGTGGCCTTGTATATATGATTTGTTGCGGACCGTCTGGATGCTTGAATGGTGGCAATAGCATCCTCTGAAATCTGTTGGGCCCTTAAATGGCTCCGCTCAACCTCCATACGGCTAGACTGAGCCATTGTGGGTTAGGGTGAAGTATTGGCCTTGGGAGAGGGAAACCTTCGATGGTGGAATTTTCCAAGGTTGTTCAACAGGTCCTGTAAGTCTGCGAACCACATTCGCCTGGGCCAGTAAGGGGCGACCAATATCAATTCCGCTCATTCCTCCAATAACTTCTGGATCAACCTGGGTATTACCGGGAGTGGAGGAAACGCATATAGAAGTCCGGGAGGCCACTGACATCGCAGAGCGTTGACGGCCTCCGTCCCCTGAGTTGGGTACCTTGAAATATACTGGGGCAATTGGGCGTTGAGAGGAGAGGCAAATAGATTGATCACCAGTTGCCCAAACCTCCGCACTGCTTCCTGGAAGACAGACGGGTGTAGGCGCCACTCTGCCTGATCTATCATGGCCCTGCTGAGCCAGTCCGCTTGTGTGTTTAAGGCCCCTGCTATGTGTTCTGCCTTGAGCGAACGTGGCGTGATTGGAAAAGGGGTAGAAAACTGAGTAAGGCCAGGTGAACTGCTCGCAGCTCCAACAGGTTGATGCTTTGTGATTGTTCGGAAATAGTCCAAATTCCCTGAGCTGTGTGGGATTGGAAGTGAGCTCCCCATCCTACCAGGCTGGCATCAGTTGTGATCATTGCCCTGTAAGGTTCCTTGAAAGGACACCCCTTGTTTATCGTTTTTTCCGACCACCAGCAGAGCGATCGGAGAACATTGTGCGGTACCTTTATCCGGACGTTGGAAGTGGCTCTTCCGGATCGCTGGAAAGGTAGCAGGAACCATTGCAGCTCTCTAGAATGGAATCGAGCCCAAGGCACAATGGAAATACAAGAAATCAGTTTCCCTAACAGTTGAGACAGCACTGCCAGGGAAACCCTCTTTAAGGCTCTGATCTCTCTGGCCAAAGACTGGATACTGTTTAACCTGTCCTGAGAGAGAAAGACCTTGCCCTCCACGGTATCTATCACTGCACCTAAATGAACTAACCTAGTTGAGGGGATCAAATGGCTTTTATCCCAATTTATGGAAAAGCCAGGACCCTGAAGGGTCTCCAGAGTAATCTTGGTATCCAATTTTGCTTGATGTCTGGAAGATGACAAAATTAAAATATCATCCAGATAACATTGTAAGCGAATAGATTTGATCCTGAATGAGGTAGCCAAAGCCGCTAGGACCTTGGTAAAAGTCCTAGGGTCCGAAGCCAGACCGAATGGTAGGGCGATATATTCGTAGTGCCGATCGCAATAGCAAAATCTAAGATTTTTGTAGTGAGCAGGTCTAATTGGTATATGTAAATAAGCCTCTGTGAGATCTATAGAGGTCAGGACATCGTTCTCTCTGATGCTGAGCAGAATGGACTGGAGAGTAGTCATCTTGAATTTTCGATAAACCAATGATCTGTTCAGATGTTTGAGGTCCAGAATTGCCCTCCAGACCCCCAAACTCTTTGGGACCACAAACTATAGAGAGTAACAGCCTTGACCCCGCTGTTCAGATAGGACCTGTCTAACGGCCTGAATATGTGAAAGATGATTGATAGCCTCCTGCATCAACTTAATGGGGTCCGTGGACCTAGGGCTCCTAATGAAAAAGTTCGGGGGGGAGGATTGAAACCAGGCATGATATTCTTCCGATTAAAATCGGAATTCCGATTTTTTGGGGAATCGCCCCCTCCTTTCCCCCCACCCCTTCTTCTCCTCCTTCCCCTCCCCTCGGAGGCCCTGAGTCAGGAGTTGCTGGCGCGGCTCCGCGTGGCTCCAGTCCCGCGTTGCCTCAGGAAGGGAAAGGCAAAAAGGAAGAGCCGCGGCGGCGCTTTGCAACGGCAGCAGCGGCTCCTGGTTTTGCCTTTCCCTTCCCGAGGCAACGCGGGACTGGAGCCGCATGGAGCTGCGCCGGCGGTAGCAACTCCTGACAGCCCCAGCCGGATACCTGAGCGGAGCCCGGGCGGTGCGAGCGGAGGCCGCTGAGCGGCAGGAAAAGGGAGCTGGGCCAGCCACAGACCAGCCTCCGTGCAACACGCCGCCGCCCGGTCCTGGCGAGGGAAAGCAGCGGGCGGTCCCCGGGCGCGCGGCGGGGGGTCTCTTTTGGCCGGCCCCGATTTTTTTTTCAGAGCGGAATATCATGCCTGTTGAAACTCTCGCACCAAACCAAACCTAATAGTGTCCTTGACCCACACATCAGAGGTGGAGCTGTCCCATTGATCAGCAAACAATTTTAGCCGCCCTCCAATGGGAACTGCTGTCAAGGACTCACTTGGGGTGATGAAAAAATCGGCCTCCGGTGCCTCTGGGGTTTCTTCTGTTTTGGCCTCCCCGCTGACCTCTATCGGAAGATTCAGACCTATCCTGTCTAAAACTGGGCCTGTAGCCTGATGTTCTCTGAGATCTGGGAACGTATGAGCCTTGATAATAGGGCCGAAAAGAACCCCTTCGAAACGACTGGGGCATTCTGTTTTCAGACCTCCGAAAAAGAGGGGGAAGCACTTTTTTCTTGTTTCTATTCTCTATAAGGACGGACTCCAAGACACTGCCAAATAATTTATCCCCCGATATTGGGGCTGATGCCAACTTGCATTTATGCTTGGTATCCACCTGCCAATGCCTGAGTCATAGCAGTCTCCGTGCTGAAACGTGAGATGCTATGGCCCTAGACGAGAATTTGACTGCATTAAATGTGGCGTCGGCGGAGAATTCTGCTGCTGCAATAATTTTAGCTATGTCCTGGTGGGCTCTGACATTTGACGCCGGCAATATATCCCTCAAGTGGAAGAGCAATCGTAGGGAGGACCGTGTAAAAAAGGACGCCGCTGTAGCTGCCCTAATGGCCCAGGCGTCAGAAACGTGCGCCCTATGGAGTGCCAACTCTGCTCTCTTTTCTTCCGGTCTCAGGGCTTCCTCGGCCTCGTTGGGAAAGGTTGAAGAAGAGGCCAGTGCCACAATGGGCTCATCCACCTCCGGCATTTTGAGAAAATTTGAAAACTCTGGTGCCAAATTATAATATCGTTTATCGTACCCTGTTGGGACTGGGTATGATACTGCTGATGCCCTTTGATTTTGTACTAATTCAGCAAACATACGAGGGACAGGAATAGTTTCTGCCTCATTAGCCAGTTGTGAGAATATTAGATCCTCGGATTTGTCCTGAGACCCTGTTGACAATGGATGAGGGTTTGATGTGCCTAGTTTAGCGGTGTTCTTTGCCTTGAACAGTAAGGATTTAAAGAGGTGTGGGCGAAAAAGGCCAGAAAAGGTAGGTTGGTCCGGAATGAGGCCTTCGTCGTCCGACATTCCCCGTTCTAGTGGGTCAGCCTCTGACAACCCCAAGTCCATCTGATGGATCGACCCCACCTCCATGGGAACATCCTGATCCTCAAATTCCACCTCCTCCCGAAGACCCTGGGCTGGTATGTTAGGAATATTGGGGAATACCTGAGTTTGATGTTGTCCCATATGCGCAAAGGATTGACCGGACAGGGATCCCACATCCGAAGCGGCCAAGAAGTGTCTGGTCCTGATGGGTTGCTGAATTCCAGCCACAATGCCCCTTTGAATCGCCATCTCCATCCATTGCCTCATTTCGATGGGGATAGTCTCAGGTAATTCCTCCTCCTGTCTTAGGCCGGCGACCGTAGGGGTGAAGGTTGCCACTGGGATTAGCCAGGCAGTGCTCATTGGAGGAGATGTGCCTATGGGAGGTTGTCCAGAAACAGCCTGCCTGGCCCCAACAATGGACTTGGGTCCTGATCAGATTGTTGTGTCATAGCCACCTTGTCTGCCTCCCTGGCTCGTTTCTGCAATTGCCTTTCCAAAGCTAGGTGCCGTCTTAGAGGCCTTTTGGGGGCCTACTGGCTTATCTCGAGACTTATTTGTCTTGGAGCGGAAAGCGTTGTCACCTTCCATTGTGGATGACTGATTCTCTTGCCTCTGACTTTAATTTTTAATTTATTATTATTATTATTATTATTATTATTATTATTATTATTATTATTATTATTATTATTATTATATTATTATTATTATTTTATTATTATTTGTACTTTGGGGTGATGCCTTCCCCTGTGGTTGAAAGTAGAACGCTCCTCCAGGAGAGTAAGTCTATATATATCTATATCTATATATACATGCCCATATACATATGCCTATATCTATATGTAAAACTGTGCATATGGTAAACAGTATATCAGGGTCCCCAACAAGGGAAATCCCCAAGCGCTCCAAACGAGAACTTTCTGGATCCCTGGTCCCCAACAAGGGAAACCAGCTATACAGGATCTGAGGTGGATTCTTTCCTGTCAAAACAAAACATCCCGCTGTTTAAAATGGCACTTGCGGCTTCACTCCAAAGAAATGATCCAAAGGCAATTGCAAGGAAATTCCTTTTTAATGACTAGCCTGCTTATCCAACGTCAGCCAGACAAGGGAGAGCTAAACCCAGGGAGAACGAAGTGGGAAGGTACTGCCCCGGTCCCCAAAAAGGGAAACCAGCGGGGAATGGCGCCTGTGATATTTAGGTGTGAACTTGAGCCAGCCATTGAAAAAGGCGGGAAGCCAGAATCTCCGCTAATGTCTAAGAAGTCTAATGAGCCGCTGCTGCTGAGGCTCTAACTTGCGAATTAAATGCTCCTGTCAGACGAAACGGCAAGGCGAAGTGAGCCGCGGCTGCGAGCGCTCCGCTACAATCGCAGAGAAGACGATCAGAAAGTTAGATAAGGTAATTGCCTGAGGCAGTCGCCTCAGGCTGCTTGTGGAGTGGCAGGCTCCGCTAGTTACAAAGAAACTGTTTTTAAACTGATCGAGGCAACCTAATAGAGGCACAAGCCTGAAAAAAAAACCAAATTAAATGGGGAAGATTTTTACAAGCCGAAATAACCCAAGAGCAAACCTGAATCAGAAAACCGTTCCAGTCAGGGAGTGCACAACCTCTTACCACGAGCTAAAACTGGGGGATACAGGGGAGGTGTTCCGTGGAGGAGGAGGAGCGTCCCGGAGTTTTAAGCCCAGCCTTTCCAGAAGAGACTGAAGCACCTCCCACTTCTGGATGCTCTGAACAGCTCATGGGAGAAACTACAGATTACATTTTTGGTAATTGTCAACAATGCTTACATTTTGATTGCTGAATGATCATGTTTATAGGTTATGTTTCAGTGGTGCAAACTCCCAAGCACATTGCACTGACATGGAATGTATTTGTGGAAATGAGTTATGGTAATCCTGTGTAATGAGTTAAATGAAATTGAAGCTTGCAGCCTTCAAAGAAAATAAATGTAGATAGGAGTCCTAAATCATTTGCCTGACATGTTTACTGTTGAACTGAATGAATGAAAATTAAATGCTGTTTCTATTTCAACAGTTCACATATAATTATCAAAGGATGTGAAAAGGCTCTGAGAGAAAGTGACTTATTTTTAATAGAGTTTCTGTATTTTTTTAATAGGCGTACCACAGGTAGGCTGCAAATATATGGAAACTACTACTATAGATGGTAAAAAGGAAAGTTTTTGCAGCTTAGATATGGTACGGCTAGCTTTTATTTTACATATCTAAAGATAGGTTGCTTCCTTGAATATACATACAGTATTCATCAGATGAATCATTGAGTATAATAAAGTAGAGCATGAAAAGTTGTCTAATTTGGAGAGTGCAACTTTGGGAAATGTTGCTAATCTAATGTTAATACAAATCTGAAATGCAAAATGCATTTTAGCATCCTTGCTAAACTGCTGTAACTCTTCTTCTGTGAGTGGGCATAGGTGTGCATGTATGAAGGCTCCTTCAGTCTTGTTTTTTGATGACTTCCTGGATGGAAAAAAAAAATCCCTTCCCTGCAGTTTTTTTGGCAAGATCTTTGAAAGTGGTTTGCAATTCTTCTTTTTCTAAGACTGAAAGAGTGACTAACCCACAGTCACCTAGCTGGCTTCACACCTAAGACTAGACTGGAATTCACAGTCTCCCTGTTTTTACCTTCCTACCCCTATCCTACCTTCCTTTACCTATTTATATACTTACTTACCTTACTTACTTTACTTTCTTATTTATACCACTTTTATTATTTTGATAAATAACTTGAGCCATCTAAAATACTTAATGCTCCTTGTTTCTCCATAACATTCTTGTGAGGTGGGTTGAGCTGAGAGTGACCAGCCCAAAGTCACCCAGATGGATTTCATGCCTAGGGTGGGACTAGAACTCATAGTTTCCTGGTTTCTAGCCTGATGCCTTAACCACTGACGTTTTATAACTCTGATAGTATAATGTTACTATTCCCTCTTATCTACAGAAATTATGATTCTGTACACCATAACCTTCTGGTATATATTTTCAGCTGAAAGATATGTTTCCTGGTTTTCGATTGGCATTGCCCCCAAAGCGTTGGTTCAAGGATAATTACAATCCTGACTTCCTAGAAGATAGACAGCTAGGACTCCAAGCATTTCTACAGAATTTAGTAGCTCACAAAGACATTGCCAACTGGTATGTAATTTTTTTAAACTATTCTCAGCAGATGTTGCAGCTCTCCTTTCCTCATTTAAATGGTACTGTTACTTTTCAGAGGGTGTAAATAATTTTCTTCTGTAAACAAAGTATTTAATAAGACAAGGAGAATTTGGCAATGCAGTGCATTACATTTTAAATAATTCTGAGACTGCAAGGTTCAATTTCAGAGGCTTTATTCTTTTTAATAGAGATTCAGAATAGTGATTGTAATGTCTTTACAGAGTAGAATGGATAAAAGATATAACGATTTAGAGTTGGTTGAGAAAAGTTGTACCTTTTGTATTCTTGTTGAATATTTCAATACAGAAGCAGGGAATGTGTGGATGACTGAATGAGACAGAACAGTAGTGACAAAAATAGATACTACTTGGTAGACAACTGTCAACTCTGTTGCATAGGCACCTGATTTGAGTAATCTTAGAGCATATTTGTTGTTTATCCCAGATGTTTCAGACTTTAATATTGGCAGCTGCATAAACTTCTTTCAGAACACTTTTGTAGAAAAGGCTTTATTTTTAGCTTTATTTTTGCTTAATCGTGGTTTGTTGAATAAGACACAATGGCTCGATTTTCACAATGTGCTAAAAAAAAACTACCAGCAGACATACTATGACTTAATTAAATCTATGAGCTTGGCTGCTTTTGTGGATATTAAATATTATTTTTTAATAATACCTCAAGTATCTGGGAAAAAAGAATAATAAGTTCTGGTCTCAATTTTAAGGAGTAAATAAACACAACAATAGACGAAGGCGTTGTTGATTAGCTATTTGGTTTCCAATTGTATCAAGATAACTCTTAAAGCATGAGTGCATGTTCCTCTTTATATTTTTTCTGGTATGTATGAAATATAGTAAAACATACTGTACTGATTCTATAGTGCTGTGTGACAAACATTTCTGGATGATAATAATAGGATTTTATTAGTGAGTTTTGCCCATGTGTGAATATTCAAAACTGAAGAAACCTTAAAGCTATATAGTTGTCTTCTTTCTTCTTTTCCTCAGTTATCGATATTAATTGCTCGATGCTAGAAAGAAGAAAGAAAATCTAAAAATGGAAATTCAGTGTTTTTTTCTGTTTTCAGCATAGTTAGTAAGCAAGATATGAATATATAAATGTTTTTTACTGCTATAAATCATAACTTTTTGTAGAAGACACATAAGTAATAACTTATAATTGTTACTATTATCTTGTTATTGAAGAGTTAAAGGCATATTGCTTATTAACTGTGATCCTGACAGGCTCAAGATTGACTCAGCCTTTCATCTTTCTGAGGGCAATAAAATGAAGACCCAGATTGTGGGGAGCAATATGCTGACATTGTAAACCACCCAGAGAGGGCTTAAGTGTCATTGCTATTAAATTATAATCTCAATACAGTAGGTTGTAACAGCTCTCAGGTGCCTTAAAACCTAAACCTAAAATTCTCTTCTCTGAAATCCTGCTAACAAAAACCCAAATCAACCAGATTTTAGCCAATTTGCTGGCCAGCCCGTTCCACTATATGATTAGATTACACAAATCTAACCATATAGGGGGCGTGCATAAGCACACCAACGTGCCTACCGTCCCTGTCCTATTGTTTCTCTTATTCTTTTATTTTTCTTATATGTACCCATTTCATGTATTCACAACTATGTATACACTTATACTTATTATCTTGTAAACAATTGGCAAATCAAATAAATAAAAAATAAATAAAATATATTAAAGTAGCTTGCTACATTACAACTTGTTTCAAACAAGAGCTTAGTTGGTTCTCTGTACTAAGACTTCTGTGTGAGGGTTGGGTTTCGGGGTTTGTTTGTTTTTTTGGTCCATATTTATCTAGCTCCTAGAAACATATTTTCATGTGAGGCTTATTTTCAAATGTGGTTTGAGAGAGTTACCGAATTGCACATTTAAGCTGCATTTTTTCTTAATGAAAACTTTGCTTCTTGTATACATAGAATGACCACTGTTATACAGGCTATAAACTGCATCACTAATTACTTGTAAAGGCAACTGACATTCTTAGTTAAGTGCGTAGAAGTGTACACCTTATTATCATGCTTTGATATTGGCTATTTAATATTCAGTTTTGTAGGTATGTATTTTGGAACTATCCTTTTAACTTGACAGTTCATTCTCAATGTGTTATAGAACAAATAAAATCAAGGACAAATTGCAAGCAGCAATACTTCATAAAATAAACTCATGAGATGGCCTTTTGCAGCCTGTCTCACTTCTTTTCAAAGAAGCAGTTCAGCTACTGATAAAAAATATCCACTGTAACATAATTACGTTTTCAAAAGGTGACCTTTTCCAAACATATTACATGAAGAAAAAGAGTATTGTTTCCATTTTACTAGGTAGATTTTAGTACCATATAATTTCTCCTTCCCTCTGCCTTACCAAAGTGAAAACTGACAATCTACTGTAGGATTCTACAAATTTGTAGAATCCTACTGGGTTTTTTTCCCTTGGGGGCGGGGGGGGGGGGGCTGTAATATAAAGTTGCCTCTAGATGACTAAATCAAATGGATGGATGGAGGATGGTAAAATAAAATAAAGGACTTTTGTAACTTTATGGTAGGAACTTTGTGATGACAACAGTCAATAATAAGGTTTTACTTTGTAGTGTTAGAATTTTTCAGATATTATTACCTGTAATGTATTTTTTTTAAAAAAGCAATGTTTTTAAGAAAACTTAAACAATAATTTATTTCTAAAAATATATAAGCTAATAGATATGGAATAGATATACTGAAATGAATGTCTTCATTCATATTTCTTATAATGTGAAGGGTTTTTTTCCCCATTTTGATAGTATTTCATGCTGTAGCCACAGCTATTTACAGTTTTGATTGAAATCTTAGGATAGACTTCTTAAAAGAAATAATTCTGCAAATTGGATTATGTAGCAATCTGTTGGAAAAGAATGTGGAATCATACTTATCTAACTGCAGTTATATGGAATCTTTTTGGATATTGTAGTGCATAAATTGAACAAAAAGGCAGGAAGAAAAAGTTTGGTGTATCAAGTAAGCCATTTATAGCATACCAGTACATTAAATGGTGTGGATTATTTTAAAATTCAATTACACATGACGTGTTGTATTCAAGGAAAATGATGTGTAGTTGAACTATTAATTTTATTTTTATCTTGAACCACCTTTTCAAAATATTTCATTCTTTTTAATAACATGTATGCTTACTAGAGAGAAAATTATGTTCAAATCTTTGCCTCTAATTATGTTTGCATCTGCTTTTATAAATTTTAATAATGCAGTTAATTCCTATTTGGGGAAGCATTACTGTACAGCATTTGGCATATTCCCAGCATGCATTGTCTTGTATTTTCGTTGTCAATTGCTCTTATTTATCAATTGCTCTTATTTTCCATTCTTTTCAAAGCCTTGCAGTAAGAGAGTTTCTTTGTTTGGATGACCCTCCGGGGCCCTTTGATAGCCTTGAAGAGAGCAGGGTAAGTGCAATAGAGGAATTTGTTTTTTACCATAGAAGAGAAGATTTTAATTGCAAAGTGACCTAAGTTTTATCACATAGTGCCTTCATGTGAATAGCAGCAACTTTTTGTTCTTTCTCCAACTATAAATTCAACATGGTCATCATGTAGCAAAATAGACTGAATGAATAAACTATGCACTATATATGAGCAGAGCTGGGGACCAAAATGCAAAGAGATGGATTTAGTAAAAGAGCAAAAGTGAAAAGAATAGGACAGTGGGGAAAAGAATTCGGGAAATATAATAATTAACTACACAGAGATTCCACAGCTTTGTTCATGCCATGTGTATGTTCTATTTTGTTATATTTATATTTACATGTGATTTATTTGTATGTTTATAGGCTTTTAAAACCATTTCAATTATGATGTACAATTGGATGGGCCTTTTTTATTCTTTTTCTCTGTATAAACATTAAATATCATGTGTTTGCCTGTCCTGTATATACTGTAATTCTAGAATACAAAGCCAGGTATGAAATGAAATAAAAATCTATCACAGGTAGTTGATATATTTGCCTTATCAATAATTTCTTATTTAAATTATCTTACTGTTATTGTTGTAATAAGAGAAAAAAGTATTTTTGTCATATTTTTGTGAATATATTAGAGTCACTAATTTTTTTGATGTAGCACAAATAGTATTTTGAGAATTCATAAAATTGCTACCATTAAGCAGAAATATATAGAATAATGTATCATTTGGGATTATTTCCAGCAAATATGATTGAAACAGCTTAGTGTTGACACTACAGAAATTTTCTGTTTTTGTGAACGCTATACAGTATGTTGCACTTATGAATATCAATATGAATTTAATTTTTATTTTTTGTTTACAATGGATTATTAGCAATCTTAAAAGAATAATAGCTTTGCATAAGGCTTTTGGTGCTCATTTGGATTTTCCTAAATAAGATTGAACTATTTTATATCCAATACCAACTCCCAAATATTTTTAACTGTAGCATATTAATAGTATTGTCAGAGTGTTTTACAGTTGAAGAACTGGGAGGATATATCTAACAACTTCAGTAGTTAACTGAAAAGACTAAAAAATGCCAAATGAGATATCCTACCAAATTAGCGTTTTCTGGCACTGATAAATTATGAACTGCAAACTTCTCACTATTAACTATAGATTTGCTTTTAAGAGAACAATTGTTTATTGGCCAATGCTTCATAGTTCTCTTCGTTAAATAGTTCTTCTATACACATAATATTTTGCTGTAAGGAAGAATGCTGCACTTAAGAACTGTATTTACATACAATGAAAATGCAGAACTGCCATAAAATATTCGTCACATATGAATGATAAATGGGAGTCTAACAAAAATTATTTGGTTATCTTAACCAAAGTATGTAATTTAAGTACATAATTTGCTTCACAAAATGGTGGGTGTAACAGAAAGTAAAAGGCATTCTAAGGCTTAACTTCATAAAGACACATCTATGCAGTTTTCTCAAAAACGTTGTTTGCCTTTGTCATCTTGCATCTTGTGTATCTTTAATTTCCAACTCTAACTTCCGGATTCATACACTGATTATTTTTCGTCCAAGGACTAATCAGACCAGCCCTAATTAGCAGCTGAGACAAGATCAGTTAAGTTCTATGATCTGCTGAGGCTACCAGTGGGCTTTCATGTCAGAGATATTTGAGCATCCTCTTGAGTTGCTTGTTTTTATTGTGGTTAAGGTGTAACAGAATCCTATAATTAGTCTTTCAGAATCTGAACAGTGTGAGTACACCTACATATACACGTACATACCCTCTAGGCTTATTTACATAAATAATGTATAGCCCATCTCAGTTTTGACTTTTATCTTTAAATAGAAATGTTTGAGGCAGTTACACAATGTTGTCAACTTTTTTGATTAAATTAACTGATCAAATAAAAGGTTTATCCAAAAGAAAAATTAATAATTTTTCAGGTTATTAGTTTTCTAGTACAAGGATATCAGTAGAACATTGATAGAACATTACTTTCAAAAATTTAAATTTCCTTCTAGGCTTTTTGTGAAACTTTGGAGGAAGCAAACTACCGGCTCCAAAAGGAACTTAATGAAAAACAAAAAGAGGTGGAAACTCTGAAAAAGTTGTTAAATGAAAAAGAATTGTACATAAATGAAATGGAGAAAAGACTTGGGTAAGACTGAAACAAAGCTGCTCACCACAAAATCTCACTATCATACCTAGTGATTGGAATCAAATACTTTAGGAACTCTGAATACTTCCTTGTATGTATTTATTTTTCAAATTTCTATAGCTTCCCAACTGTTACAACAGAAATGACTCTGGGAGGCCTATAATAAAGTTAAAAAATAGTTCACAAATAACAATTATAATTATTAAAAGTATTAAAAACTGTAAGACACAGCTGAACAAAAATTGACAAAGAGATATTAATAATCTTACTATTGTCCAGTTCCCCAGGGGCCCCCAAAAGGCAGGAAACACTTGAGATGGTAATCAGAGAGGAAATTTTAAGTTCTGTCTCTCCACCAAGAACATGTGTGAGACTTTGAGATAAAACCCGTATCATGTCTTAACTTCTATTTGAAAAGGAGAACGAGAACATTGCAACAGAGTTTGTAGTCTCTTAAGGGAGAAAAATAAGTATTCAGGGTGGAATGCTTTTCTGGCAAAGGTCATTTCAGAATTAAATATTCTGTTTATATTTAATAATTCAGAAACATTCAATTTTACAATCCCAGACACCAGATAAATGGTATCAGAGGTTATTTTATCTTCAATGAACATTTTTCAGCATACATTGACTATGTAATATTAACAATAATGAAAATTACTGCTTTGTTCTATCAATAGAAAGCTGCGCTTTAAAAGAATTTCTAGGAGAAAACTCCACTGAATGCAATGACTCTTTTAAATACATGTGCATAGTTTTCTCCAATGAAAGAAGCTTTCCCCAGAGACATTTTAATAATAATTCCCAGCTAAAATAAAAGACCTGCCTTGATTTTGTTACAGGGACTTAAATTTAGTGGAAACAAAGTCTTGTAAATTGTCAGGAGAGGGAAGTGAATGCAGTGGAGAAGTGGAGTCATCCGCAACAGAGGCAGATCAAAGAACGTTGGAAGAAGACAGCCGGTAAATGATCATTGAGCAGTTTTATTTAAAGTTAAGCTCTGAAATGCAAATCATCTGCAAGCTTAGAACAGTCCTTTGGGGTAACCCGCTGCAGACATTTCAGGCATTTTGCTGGAGATGTTTTCCATAGGATTGTGCCTTCATTATAATCAAACTTAGTAATTTTTATATTACTTGTCTTCAAGTTTCTGCACGTACTTGGGTTTTCCAATGCTTTTCTACCGCTTAAAAAGTCATTGGATGACATTGAAATTAAAAGTTAATTAATTGATGCCAATAGCTTTCCAGTTGGCTGTATGCTGAAAAAAATCACACGGCATGGTAACTTGTAGGATATGAGTATTGTATAAAATATGAGCCCCGCAATTTGCAGATAGACAGTGTCCCCATACTAGCACATATTAGAACTGAGTGATAGCTCACATTTTTGGCTCACATTTTTAATGTAAATATATTGATCTGAATCTGCAGGTCTGAAAAAGAGGATTGGAAAACCTCTTGGAGTGGGTCACTGGTAGAAAACTTTGTGCCAGAAATAGAAGTAGCCGAAGTGGCATATACTGCTGATATAGATGAGATGTAAGCATCACTTGTTTTGCTTATTTTATTTTATTTTTAAAAAAGATCTATCTGGAAGTTGTTGAACAACAGCAGTAGAACTGAAGATGATAGGAATGTTTACATAAATCATTCAGAATACATTTTTGACACAAGAAGAATAATCAGTGCTGCTGCTTTAATTCATTTGTTATCTAAGATATATTGATATGTGGAGAACTATATTAATATATAACAACTTTGGTTAAGTTTATGTTATGCCTAGAATCCTAAGTAATGTGTATAATTTAGCAGAGTAGATAAAGGTTAAATGTCAATTATCATTTGGCTTGTCACACCTGTTTACTACTACTATGTGACTATTTTGTATGGGCAGCTTTTGGTATCTGATTTTGCAGATTCTTTATATAGGATATAGTTTTATGCTCTGGAAATATAATACTGCCATCAGGCTTCAGAAACAGTATATGATCTCTCATGTTTTTAAAGTGATAAATTTAAATATGTATGTTTTAATGCAATAAACTAGAAAAGCTTAAAGTACCAAAATAATACTTCAGAAATAGGAATAAGATTGAGAGTTTTTTATAATGGGAGAGGGAGAATAATAGCCTAGTTATACTGTAGATAGTCATATACACTTGAAAATATTGTAAAAACTGATTTAACGTTGTACTTGTTTTTTCTTTAAATCTTACGATAATTTTGCTACAAAATTAATTATATATATAAAAAAATATATATATATATATATATATATATATATATATATATATATATATAAACACTACCTCCTACTTTGTTACTTATGCATAAGTGTGCTGTTTAATACCTATTCAATATGTATATGATTGATAATGGCCATTTGTTAAAGCCATACTTCTGCACCGTTAATGAAATCTAGTTGCAGTTTGTATGAAGATACCAGGAATTCTGTAGCTTACATACAAATTTTGTTATGCCCAACAATGCACTTTATTGTAAACACACACCTTGTGTCAGGATCACTGGCATATGCGTATACAGAGACACATACACACACACCCATGCATACCTTTTGATCAAGAAAAGGTGAAGTGATTTGCACAATCATGTCTCTTTCTATTATGCCTGTTACTTATGTTTGCTGTAGTGTGCGTCAGCTTTATGGAATCTTCAGAAACATTTTGCTGAGCGGCTGTTTGCTCAAAGTGCCTTTTGTCTCCTCTTCCCGTGAAAAGAATGCAAGCTTTGTTCTTCTTTATGCCATTTACTCTTTGTTTATCTTAATGTTGTTAGCACACACGTCTCCATGTGCTTGGACTTTTCAATGTTCACTTTGTAATTTTGGGTCTGAGGAAAAGCACTCTGTAGAATTGTATACAACTGTCCGAGGAAAATAAAGATTTCGACATGAGATCTTTTGCTGTCTTTTGTGGAAAAAAATTCAAAAGCCAAAGTAAAGGTAAAAGCTTCCTCATATTAAAGTTGACTTTAGTGACACATTCACCTGTGTCACACTTACACATCAAAGTTTCATCTGCATTATAAATATTATGAAATATATTCATTGTATGAAAGTATAAGGTATACTTTCATATAGATTTCTCAATTACTGTTTATTCCTACAACTTCCACTCCCATCTCCAATTTGTCCATAAAGTCTCTCAGTATTCAAGCAGTCTTCAGGAATTGAAGAGATATAACAAATAGTTATTTTCCTCTCATTTATGAACTTCTCTGGATACAGACCCTCCATGAATACAGAATGGCATGGTTGGATCTAGTCCTATATTATATGTTATTACTTGACATGTTGATATATTTTTAAATAGTTCTACCAAAATTCAAAAACAGGCCTAACAGCAAAACTCCTGATGCACCAGATATTTTGTTCATATGCAGATAAACATTTGGGTGTGGTATTTTTATATACTAGGTATGAAATATTTATTCAAGGTTCCCGACACAAAGACAAATACACAATGTCTAAATGCTGAAATCCTACTATTAAGTATAATCCAGTAGTTATAAAATACAGTTTCCAGATTTGAAGATTTTTTTAAAGGTATATTTTGTATAAGAGTTTAGATGAGAATTTTATAGGGCTGGTCTTTTAGGTCAACAAACTAATTATTTAAAAGTTTATTTCAGGCATCTGCATCTCCACACAGGAAAGATTCAAAATCATAGATATGAAACAGTGTTGTAACTTTCACTATACAATGTTGTTGCCTCCCAAGATGGGGGCCATTTGAAGAACAGAGTAAATGCCATATCTTAATGAATCTCTACTCCCATGTTATCACTTGAGGTAAATAGAGAGTTGGCGAAATTAACAGGATATGTGGTACTCTCCTTACTTCTCTTAATCTTACTTTCTACATTTTTCATTTCTCCTTCAAACTACCCACTTCCCCCATTTCTTGGTACTATTGGCTTACATCTATTATTATTCTCATCTGTGGGGAAAGACACACAGGGGGGAAAAAATGAAATCTCTTCTTATTGTTTCCAAAGAAATGTAGAAACTGGGTGCAGCACGTATGAAAAGGAAATGGAGTATAATTGAGCAGAGTAGGAAATTATTTTGGAATTACATCCCTGGAACAGGAATTCCAGAGGCAATTAAGAGTAGGGGTGTCAAACTCACATCATCACGATGGCATCATGTGATATGCTGGGACTTTTTTCTCCTTCACTAAACTGGGTGAGGGCAGGGCCAGCACTTGACACATCCAGCCCCACAAGCTGTGAGTTTAACACCCTTGATTTAGAGAAACTTAAAGTTTCTCCTATATAGTAAAGGAATCTTGGCTGTTAAAATGAGAAAATCAAGTATGCTTTCTCTTAGTAGCCATACATTAAAAATATCGTTCATTTGATTTCCCAAATAATTATCCAAAGGCAGGAGACATTTAAGATCAGAATAGTATCACTCTGAAGAGATCTATTTTATGTTCTGGTTTTTCCTGCAATCAATATTTTAAAATGCAGAGCGTTTTATATAGATTGCACTTCATGGTAATTGCTATGTGAGTTTAATTCTAGAAACGCACTGTATGCATAGGCTTCTTCTACCCTGTTCTGTATGCACCCATTTGTTTCTGCAATGTAAACAGAAAACAGGCCATCTTTTTCCTCACTCTGAACTACATCAAAAACTTTAACTGTGTAACTTTGTGTTATGTGCAACATAAAGCTATAGTACTTTAATCATACTTTATTAAGCTTTAGTGACCTATTGTCCATACAGGTTATGCTTTCTATGGGCAACTTTGTTAACATGATTTTAATATTGCTGGAAGAGTAAAGATAGGGTTACATGAGATTCTAATCCATGTTAATGATTGCTCACTTAGAAGAAAGGAGGCCTATGTTTGCAATCATTAAAAGGTTTTAGAACTTTTTAATGTTCCAAAATTCTTAAAATCAACACATGCAGCACATTTGTTTCTGTGACCTCCTATCCATCATAGTGTAGCAGACATGCAGGTAATTTCCACACAATTTGTGATTTTTTTTTCCCTTTGATATGTCTGTGCAAACATTTGATAGAGCAATTTGAGAGTATAAAGCAATCATATACTATATAATCATTGCATAACACTGTAATCATTATCTGTATACGCTGTATTTGAATGATTAAAGAAAAATAACAAAACCTAATTTTCTTCATTGGATGTTATGAACAGGTGCTTAAAATCTATTTTTAATGATTGAATTTGAAATCAAAGCAGCTTAATGGAATTGATAAATTGTAAAAGCATGTGCGTTATGAATGTTAAAATATCATTTGTTCTTTTGTCTAACTGCTAATAATACAGCATTCCAATATTTTATTGTTATTGGTTTCCTTTTTTCCGTTATCTTCCAAGAATCCAAACTCTATTTTAAGCATATTTTAAAGAACTTTTCAGGTTTTTGTCTTTTGCAAAAACTCAACTAAGTAGAATAACTAAATTAGAAATCTGCAATTTAGTTTATAGGATTACAGAATCTAAATGTATCAAAATACATTCCCAAGCTACCATCAATTATTTTTACATAACTTACTCATTCATGTTATTCAAGATCCAGGTCTACCAGATTGCCAATGGGCTTTTTTTATGTTTGTGACTGATTATTTTTAAAAGTTAATATTTATTTGCTGGCAGATATTGTTAAAGCCCCAAAATGACATTATTAGTTGCCAGAAAGTTCTATTTGTATGAAAAAAGAGTACACATAACAGCTGAAAAAGGGAGTGCTGGGATATCAGTGTGGAAGAAAGGTCTTGGTAGAATAAAATAAGATAGTCTAACAAATAGAAGATGTTTAAAGATGAGAATGTGGAAAGAGTTTTGATACTTTTGAACTTTGGTGCTGGAGAAGACTCCTGGAAATGGCATGCATAACTCAGAAAACAAATCAACTCAGCATTATTGCTTGAGGTGCAAATTACCAGACGCTCATATTTTGGAGAAATCATGAGAAATCAGCTCCTTTGAAAAGTTTCTAATGTGGACTTCTGGTTTGAGCTTCACGGACAGACCGAAACTGCGATCGTGCGCAGTTTCGATCCGTGCTCGCCGTTGGAGCACCCCGAGCCAGCTGGATTCGGGGCTAAGCCACCCTGTAGAGGTGGTGAAGAAGGGGGAGACTGCCAGCAGGGTTGAGGAGAGCCGCATCTCTCCTCCTCAGCTGGCCATTACTCCCTTTCCCGAAGGTGGTTGCAGCGGTGGTCAGAAATGGCCACTTCAAAGAAGAACTTGACCGGAAAAGAATGTGCAGGAGGAAGATAAGAAGAGAAAGTCTTGGTTAACCGGGTTAAACTGCAAAAGCAACAACTAAGGTACCCTGGAATTTAAACTACAAAAAAAGTAACATTCCCAAAGAAGATTTTGAAGCAGCAAAAGAGAGAGAAGGGAAAGGATTTGGTTTTTTTTCTCTCTCTCCCTTTCCCTATATTGACAGCTAAGCAAGAAATTGGAAAAAAAATTCACTTGGACATCAATAGGCATTGAAGCTGAAAATAAAATGTCAAAGGGATAATAAAGATTTCTGGATACTTAAAAGCTTTTAAAAGCGGGAAAGGAGAGAAAAAGAATAAAAGGGCAGGATCTGGGGGGGGGAAAGGAGGAGACTGCCTGGAATTAAAAGGAATCTACAGTAAAACTTTAACAAGACTTCTAAAAGATACATTTTAACTGAAACTTGGCAACAAAATAGTAGAACCCCAAGAAGAGAAAGTGGAAAAAAGAAGCAAAAAGAAACAGCTTCGGTGTATTTGGATTACTTGGTGATCTCTGGATTTTTGGTTATTGCATTTGAATGACTAAAATTAATCAGGTGGTTGTTTAAAGGTTTTTAAAATGGCACCACTTTTAGAAGAATTGAAGATGGAACTTAAAAAGTATAAAGAAGATGCACAAGAAGGAAGAAGCTCTTTTGGCTTCATATTTCAATTTTTAGAAATGGAGATTTGGAACTATGAGAAACAACAAGAAACTCCTGCAGAACAAGAAGATTGGGACAAAGAAGAAGCCATCTTTAATGAACAAGTAATTTTATGTGGGGAAGAAAAAGGAAAGGGGGGAAAAGAGAATGAAAAGTTTAAGATTTAAAAAAACAACCAAAGAAAAGAAAAATAGTTTGAAAAACAAGTATAATATTGGAAAGCAACAGAAGAGGGGAATACAGAAGAGAGAAATAGAACTAGAGAGACAAGGGGAGGGAGAAGAAGAGAGGGAAAAGGGGAGGGAGA